ATCAGTGCTTAAAACCTACTTTCACTTTTACAGTTAACTGATGACGTAACATATGACGTCATTGTTTCAGTTCGTGCACGTGCACATGTTCAGCGGGCTGATAACTAGTTCTTGGCCCCGGGCCGCAAACTCATAATAGGTCACGTGACACTCATAATCAGTTGAAATCATAGGCGATTTTGTTACTTTATATAGTAACAAGTGTATTTACTATTATTACTACATTTGGTAAAATAAAAATAACCAAAGTCTCCCAGGGTCCGTCTCATGTGTTATTTTCAGTTCTCAGGTTTCTAACAAGCACAATTACCCAGCGAGACATGTGTTATTTTTCATAATATAATCACATAATTTTGAAAATTTACGTTTGGAATAAAAATGCCTATAGATGTACGACAAATTTCAAATTCATTTAGCTGCTGTATATACTCAAAACTCAGTCGATAATATCCTAACAGCCGGGAATCTTTACCGGACGGGAATGTACCTATACTGAACCAACATGCTCTGGTGGAATGCTTAGCTGGCTAGGCAATCTAGCAGAGCGTTCCTAAATATAGTGTAAAAATGCTCTGCTGCAATACTCAGCTGTCTTGGCAAACTAGCAGAGCATTCCTAGCTTTAGTGAAAAATGCTCTGCTGGAACGCTCAGCTGGCCAGGCAATCTAGCAGTGCATTACTAAATATATTGTTAAAATGCTCTGCTGGAATGCTCAGCTGGCTAGCTAAGCTGGCTAGGTAATCTAGCAGGGCATTACTAAATATAGTGTAAAAATGCTCTGCTGGAATGCTAAGCTGGCTAGGCAATCTAGCAGGACATTACTAAATATAGTGTACAAATGCTATTCTGGAATGCTAAGCTGGCTTGGCAATCTAGCAGGGCATTACTAAATAAAGTGTAAAAATGTTCTGCTGGAATGCTAAGCTGGCTAGGCAATCTAGCAGGGCATTCCTTAATATAGTAAAAAATGCTCTGCTGGAATGCTAAGCTGGCTAGGCAATCTAGAAGAGCATTACTACATATAGTGTTAAAATGCTCTGCTGGAATGCTTAGCTGGCTAGGCAATCTAGCGGGGCATTCCTAAATATAGTAAAAAATGCTCTGCTGGAATGCTAAGCTGGCTAGGCAATCTAGAAGAGCATTACTAAACATAGTGTAAAAATGCTCTGCTGGAATACTAAGCTGGATAGGCAATCTAGCAGGACATTACTAAATACAGTGTAAAATGCTCTGCTGGAATGCTAACCTCGCTAGGCAATCTAGCAGGGCATTACTAAATATAGTGTAAAAATTCTCTGCTTGAATGCTAAGCTGGCTAGGCAATCTAGCAGGGCATTACAAAATATAGTGTAAAATGCTCTGGTGGAATGCTAAGCTGCTAGGCAATCTAGCAGAGCTTTACGAAATATAGTGTAAAAATGCTCTGCTGGAATGCTAAGCTGGTTAGGCAATCTAGCAGGCCATTACTAAATAAAGTGTTAAAATGCTCTGCAGGAACGCTCAGCTGGCTAGGCACTATAGTAGAGCATACCTTGATAAAGTGAAAAAATGCTCTGCTGGAATGCTCAGCTTGCTAGGCACTATAGCAGAGCATTCCGTAATATAGTGAAAAAATGCTCTGGTGGAATGCTCAGCTGGCTAGGCAATCTAGCAGGGCATTACTAAATATGGTGTAAACATGCTCTGGTGGAATGCTTAGCTGGCTAGGCAATCTAGCAGAGCGTTCCGAAATATAGTTAAAAATGCTCTGGTGGAATGCTCAGTTGGCAGACTAATTCTGAGTCCCAGGATTTATTGTTGCCAATGTTTTATTGACATTGTCGACTTCTAGGCAATTCTGAGGCACTCGCAGTCTTTCAGGAATTTTCGGTGCCAATAGAAATAATGATATTTTTGACTTCTAAGGACCTTTAAGAGACTATTTCATTGTCCTGCGACTTTTTGAAGGACACTCGCAGACTTTCAGGAATTTTGGTGCCAATGCTGATATTGACAATTAAGACTTAAAGGGACCCTCAAGAGTCCATTTTGGTCGGTATGGTTTCAGGAATGGTTGGTGCCAATGGAAATAATCATATTTTTGACTTCTATGGACCTTTCAGAGTCCATTTCATTGGCCTGCAGCGTATTGTCTGACACTCGCAGACTTTCAGGAAAGTTTGGTGCCAATAGAGATGATGGCAATTTTTACTTCTAGGGACCCGACAGAGTCCATTTTTATGGTCTGCGACTGATTCTGGGACATTCGCAGACTTTCAGGAATCTCTGGTGCCAATAGAGATAATGACATTTCTGACTTTTAGGGAAAACCGCCAGAGTACATTTCTTGGGTCTGCGACTGATTCCTTGAGACTCGCAGACTTTCAGGATGTTTAGTGCCATTGCAGATCATGACTTTTTACTTTTAAGGACCCCTTTGTCATAAACAGAGCATTTTTACCCTAAAATGTCATTATCTGCATTAGCACCAAAAATTCCTGAAAGTCTGCAAGTGCCAAATAATCAGTCGCAGACCAACGAAATAGACTCTGGATGGTCAAAAATGTCACAAGCAAATTCGTTGAATTTATATCCCCCGCCGAGTACTGGTTATTATTAACACAACAACTGAAGACATAAGGCTTTATTTATATATTAATCATGGCATAAACAGTAATATTCTTTGAACTTGATAAATATTCAGGGCAATAACAGAGCCATAACTTTGTGTTAAATAGTAAAATCTGGAAATGCCAATGAGATGTATGCATACTACATAACTAATCAAGGGCCATATATCTGACTTATAAGTACTTGACTGGAACAAGGCGACTATATGCACATCTCCTTATAGTATCCCATAAAGTTTCATTGAATTCCAGCCAGTAGAAGCAGAGAAGTAGCGAGGAAACAAATATTTTTCTTTATGGATACTGCATAACTAATCAAGGGCCATAACTCTGAGTTAAAGTGTCTGACCCGAACAAGCCGACGATATGCGCATCTCCTCTTGGTATTGAAGGTTCCCATAAAGTTTCGTTGAATTCCAGCCAGTAGTTGCAGAGAAGTAGTGCGGAAACGATTTTTACTCTATATGCATACTACATAACTAATCAAGGGCCATAACTCTGAGTTAAAGGGTCTGACCGGAACAAGCCGACGATATGCGCATCTCCTCTTGATATTGATGATTCCCATAAAGTTTTGTTGAATTCCAGCCAGTAGTTGCAGAGAACAACTCCGGAAACGATTTTTACTCCATATGCATATTGCATAACTAATCAAGGGCCATAACTCTGAGTTAAAGTGTCTGACCCAAACAAGCCGACGATATGCGCATCTCCTCTTGGTATTGATGATTCCCATAAAGTTTCATTGAATTCAAGCCAGTAGTTGCAGAGAAGTAGCGCGGAAACGATTTTTACTCAATATGCATACTGCATAACTAATCAAGGACCATAACTCTGAGTTAAAGTGTCTGACCCAAACAAGCCGACGATATGCGCATCTCCTATTGGTATTGATGATTCCCATAAAGTTTCGTTGAATTACAGCCAGTAGTTGCAGAGAAGTAGTGCGGAAACGATTTTTACTCTATATGCATACTACATAACTAATCAAGGGCCATAACTCTGAGTTAAAGTGTCTGACCAGAACAAGCTGACGATATGCGCATCTCCTCTTGATATTGATGATTCCCATAAAGTTTCGTTGAATTCCAGCCAGTAGTTGCAGAGAACTACTCCGGAAACGATTTTTACTCTATATGCATACTACATAACTAATCAAGGGCCATAACTCTGAGTTAAAGGGTCTGACCGGAACAAGCCGACGATATGCGCATCTCCTCTTGATATTGATGATTCCCATAAAGTTTCGTTGAATTCCAGCCAGTAGTTGCAGAGAACAACTCCGGAAACGATTTTTACTCCATATACATATTGCATAACTAATCAAGGGCCATTACTCTGAGTTAAAGTGTCTGACACAAACAAGCCGACGATATGCGCATCTCCTCTTGGTATTGATGATTCCCATAAAGTTTCGTTGAATTCCAGCCAGTAGTTGCAGAGAAGTAGTGCGGAAACGATTTTTACTGTATATGCATACTTCATAACTAATCAAGGGCCATAACTCTGAGTTAAAGGGTCGGACCGGAACAAGCTGACGATATGCGCATCTCCTCTTGATATTGATGATTCCCATAAAGTTTCGTTGAATTCCAGCCAGTAGTTATCCCCCATCGGCGGGGGATAATAAATTGTAATTATCTCTATTGGCACCAACAATTCCTGAAAATCTGTGACTGTCCAAGATTAAGTCGCGGACCAAAAAAATGGACCCTGGATGGTCCCTAGAAGTAAAATATGTCATTATCTACCTTGACATCAAAAATTCCTGAAAATCTGTGAGTGCCTCAGAATCAGTCGCAGATCAAAAAAAATGGATTCAGAAAGGTCCCAATAAATCAGAAATATCATTTTCTGCATTAACACCAAAATTCCTGAAAAGCTGCGAGTGACTCAGAATCAGTCGCAGACCAACGCAATAGATTCAGGAGGGTCCTTTTGAAGTAAAAATGTCATTATCTCCATTGGCACCGAAAATTTCTGAAAGTCTGCGAGTGTTCAAGAAGCATTCGCAGACCAACGAAATGGACTCTGGATGGTCCTAAAAATTCACAAATGTCATTATCTGCATTAACACCAAAAATTCCTGAAAGTCTGCGATCGTCCCAGAATCAGTCGGAGACCAAAGAAATAGACACATGAGGGTCCCGTAGAAGTCAAAAATGTCATTATCTGCATTGGCACTAAATATTTCAGAAAGTCTACGAGTGCCAAATAATCAGTTGCAGACCAACAAAATTTATACTTTATTTAAGAATGCCCTGCTAGTTTGCCTAGACAGCTCAGCATTCAGGCAGAACATTTTTACACTAATATTCAGAATGCTTTGCTGGATTGCCTAGCCAGCTGAGCATTTTTAACACTATATTTAGGAATAGGCCTTTCTCAAATTATATGCATGCTTTACATTCCATCACGAGAGAGAGGCTAATAGGGCATGAATGTAAACAAATAATGTCTGACCTGATAAGCCCTAGTGATTTAAACTTGCCGGGGGAAAATCTCATTTTTTATTGTTGTGTTCCACTATGTGATTCCAATACTAGTATTTTTTTTTATAAAATACCTGAGGATGTGAGTTTGATAAATGCAGGGATTGTGAAAATAAAAAGGAATGAATGAGAACATTTCAAGGTAAAATTCCATTGTTCTATTCTTTTTAAACCAAGCTACTTTAGATGTATTACTACTTACCTTAATTAATCTGATTTCACATTATATTTAATGTGTTATTTAATTATTAACATAAAAATATGTTTTGTTCATAAATTTCATTTAAAAAATCTAAATCAATACCGTTTTAATCTAAAAAGCAATAACAGTTATTTTATGTACTTTCAGATCAATACATGACAACAGTTGCTCGTTTCGAAGCATTTCACACAATTAGATTAACGATCATGGACACAATTTCGAAAATGTCTGAAGATAATAGATGTACTTTCTTGGTTTGACTAGAGAAGTTATGATGACTAGAACAGTATGATGAACACTAAAGAAGATTTTGCCAGATGAAAGGTACAACACAAGACTTAATTTTCATTTTTACATATGAATAAAAATCAGCCAATGTAAAAATGTACATGTATGTGCAATTAAAATATTAATTGATATATTCGAGAAATGTCATAATTCTTGTTTCCACTTATAAATAAAATGTATATATTTTTCAGGAATTCCATTGGTAACAGTCATGAACACAAATTGAAAACTGGTATTTGAAACGCCTTAAGTTGTAATTCCTCTTCATGGCAAATGCATACCAGATGAAAAAGAAACTATCAAACAGTTCAAAGAAGAATTACAGAAAACTTAGGAAGAAAACAAACAGTGATATTGAACATTTGATACACACGTCAATGTGATATTGGACGTTTGATACAAACAAATTTTCAAATGACGACAGTTGTATATCTTGTTATACAGGATTTCCAACATATATATGTATATTCATAACAGTTTTCAATGTAATAAAACATTAGCAAAAACATTAAGAGCGTTTATTATGAAGTAAGCTAAACAATCAGTTTGACTGGTAGAAAGAAACGGATGTTGCAAGCTGACGAAATGTATTTTAGCATATTTTAAAGTCTTTTTCGTCTTACATTAAAATAAATAATAAAATAAATCATCGCATTACTTTCTTTTTAACATTGTGCTTTGTTTACATATATGGTACAGCTGCAGGGAATATGTCAGCATGTTAATTACATATTTTGTCCTCTTATTGCATTATATACTGTTGAGTGAATATTTCTCGGAATGTTAAAAGAAGTGCTGGAACTCGATGCTGCCGTTCCTAATACACTCCGACTGCAACGTTTTCTGCATAGGTTTTCCGCAAATGTTCAGTCCCCTAAGTACATGGAATGTATGGGATTGGTTAGTCCAGGCATAATCTTCTAGAAGTGCCGTGTATCCTAATGATTTAAAAATACAGGCTTCAAACAATTTGACCACATACTTAAGTCGGACCAACTGGACAAGTGCAATAAGCTAATGATACTTCAGCTTCGTCTTAAGATTTGACTGATATATGCAATTAAATGATTGTAATTCGTTATCTATACTAAGTATTTCATACTGTAATTAATTAAAATTGTTGATAATATATAAGTTTTACGTTATTTACTTAGCTTGAAATGTATTTTTACATTGCCATAGACAACATCATGTGTTATAATACTGAAAATCCATTGAAATGTATAAGACGGGGTTGTGGTGTCATATCCAAACAAAATATTATTTTGATTTGATAAGGCAGTCCGAAAAATTAACAACTTACTAGACAGTCATCCAGATTTTTTGACTTTTAAATAAAAAGTGAATAAAACTTATTGTATGTTTTTTTTTATTTCAATAACATTATTTAAGAGAAGTATGGTACAGAATTCAGCATCCAGCTGTTTACATCTATTATCAGTTAATTGCTTTAACATGTTTTTAGGTTAGCAATAAAATACTGATAACACAGATAATGTTTGTATAAGTTGCAAAGAGTTAACATGATATTTATACTGACACGGAATATTAGAAATTACTTGGAATTATCATATACATTAATTCATTTTTCAGGTCTTGAATACATTTATGTCCTTCACTGTATATACTGGCATGCGAGCAGTTCCCGTACAGAAGCAGTACCCGTATTTTTCATTTAAACGCTTGATTTTTACTTGCATTCTTCAAAAATTCATTTCAAATCAAGCACATACATAATCGAGACAAAATCTAAGTGTCAGTTCGGCAGTAGGTATAAAAAGTCTCATTTTAAATCACTTTCACCTGTGCCTTGTCAAAACGTGACCTTGTTTTCTCTGGGGGATTCCGTCCTTGCGCGCATGCGCAAAAATACTTACACGTGAGGCCTGTTAAAGGGTTTTCCACTAATACCACCTGTTTACAGATAAGTAGGCAATGTGATGAAAACTTGTTTAATTATCAGAATGTTGACCTGAATATCACTATATAAAATAATTTTATGGCTTTGATGCGTAAAATATCATGCATACAAGCATGCCAGTGCATGTGGATGCGTTGGGGTAACGGTACCGGGTAATAGATACCCGCGTTTAGTCTACGCTCTATTTCCTGAATTACATCTATTTATCTCTTAGAAAATGGTCTGTTTAACAATTATAAATGAAAAATAGGTCCGATATAACAAAATTATATAATTATAATGGGTTAATTTTTATGTACGGGAACTACTTCTCTTCATACAAAATAATGGATAATTTCGGTACCCCATATGAGGCCTCAAAACTAAGGGTTATTCTATGTTTAGAACATGATGGAATTTCCATGATTTGTGTGACGAGCCGAATATTGATGTGTAACATTCAAATTTTGGTGAGTGAGCGTAATAAAAAATAATGTTTAAGTAACTACGATTTTTGTACGGGAACTGCTCGCATGCCAGTAACGTAAATTAAACCCTGTTGTTGATTTATTTATCTTCATAAGAAATTAATGTGAAGTTAAATAAAGTTCTCGACAGGTATGTAGTAAATGGTACAATATGAAGATCTCTGCCACTGTAGGAAAATCTTTCGGCCATATATTTGTCATATGTTTACATAGAGCAGATAATAAAGCTTGCCCTGTTAGCCTCGTTCTGATAAATGTATGAATATGTATGAGGTTATATTAAGAAGGGTCTATGCCCTGCTAGATTACTTAGCTAGCTGAGCATACCAGCAGAGCATTTTTCGCACTATATTTTGGAACGCTCTGCTAGATTGCTTAGCCAGCTGAGCTTGCCAACAGAGCATTTTTACACTCTATTTAGGAATGCTTTGCTGGGTTGCCTAGCCAGTAGTCCAACTAATTGTACTGCGCGACGAGATATTGTGCTATTTTCGTGTCTGGGCAATATCTCGCCTCTACGTACAACATAAAGCTTTGGACCGTCTAAAATCTTATTAGAATTCATATTTGAATAAATTTGTTACGATACCTTTAAAGATTATTCATTTCTACATCAATTTCATGTTTTATTTGTGAAAATATTCCTAACATAAAGATTTTGATAGAAAAGCAAACACATGAACCATCAAAATAAAGACATCGCCGCTAATGTCACGTGACAAATACACTGTTAATTACTACACGGGTGTGTATGCGGTATAGCCTGGGTTCCAGTCTGTCGATTTTATGTTATGTTTCTGTTTGGAAAATCGACTATCATAACGACGAACGAATACGGAATATTTTAGCGCATATGTTATGAAAAAAAAATGTTATAAATAAGCAAAAAATATCAACGCCTGAATCCCAGGCTATATGCGGTACTGCGTTACTGAGAAACGCCAGAACACTCTTAGTAAAAGTTATATTTAAGACATTTATTTATGCAAAAAAAATAATAACTATGAAAGCATGAAAATACTATTTTATTGGGGCAGATGCAAAACTTATTCGTTATTGTCAGAGCGTTCTTAGAAATATCAGAATCATCATTATCTTTTTAGAAAAGCTACTCTGTAAATAGACTCCTCACAAAATATTTTCTAGTTTATAAAAAAAATATTGTGTTCAGCTTTCCCAGTAAATATAGGACATGGGACCTATTGGTAACTATAGATTTTTCCCCACGATTATGATGAAAATAGGAATATGTTAATAGCAGAAACACGAGGTTAATATGTTTAAAGAGCAATTTACGAACGAATTCCTAGTGCCTTAGCGACTACGAGAGGACGCCATTCTAAGGAATTTGACAGTCTGTTATTTATATTAATGTTGATTAACTATTAAACGATATTTTCAATGTTCAAACTATTTTTTATCAATAATAAAACGAATAAATGTCAAACGCGGTATAAAACGAATAAATGTCAAACGCGGTGCCTCGACATTATACATGTATGTTCCATGTAATTTTATTTTTTTTATTTTCTTATCCACGCAGGTCCATAATTCTTGCTAGTTTATTCCAAAAAGCTTTCTGAAGATGTTTATAGAAAGAAAAACACACACACACGCACACACACGTAGGTATGAAATTGTTTTAAAATGACCGTGGTACAGGGAAAAATACTCGGAAATTTATTTCATAAAACAGGTACCCGCTTCATTTTTGTTTGTTTGTTGTTTTTTGTTTTGCAAAAGACTTTCATAATGTTGGTATACAGTAAAGATTTATTCCATACATTTCACTTTTATGCCGTCTAAGAAATTATTTTCTTTTATAAAATACACGCATGGCGAAGTGCGATTTGAAGAATCAAGGCGGCTATTTTACAATGTTACATAAACAAAACGCTGCGCCGCTAATTTCTTTCACAGAGGTGTAGGGTGTGAAAGCATGAAAATACTATCTTATTGGGACAGATGCAAAACTTATTCGTTATTGTCAGAGCGTTCTTAGAAATATCAGAATCATCATTATCTTTTTAGAAAAGCTACTCTGTAAATAGACTCCTCACAAAATATTTTCTAGTTTATAAAAAAAATATTGTGTTCAGCTTTCCCAGTAAATATAGGACATGGGACCTATTGATATGTACCGACAAAATTAATATTGACCGAGGCTATCTCACATTTCACATTTAGTCACATATTTCACATTTTAATATATGGTAAAGTTTACATCTTTGCATAACCTTTTCATTAGACTTAATGTTTCTTTTTTAAGGATTCCGCCGATGAGTCACTTACTTGAATGAATATGCGGTTGCGTTATATGTCCAGGAATGTCTTCAACCTGGTCAATTATATATAATGAAATTATTTCTTTAAATTTCAATAGTAATACAACTGTGTTTGCACGAAATACACTTAAGCTCTCATAATAAAATCAAGCAATCAGTGCTTAAAACCTACTTTCACTTTTACAGTTAAATGATGACGTAACATATGACGTCATTGTTTCAGTTCGTGCACGTGCATATGTTCAGCGGGCTGATAACTAGTTCTTGGCCCCGGGCCGCAAACTCATAATAGGTCACGTGACACTCATAATCAGTTGAAATCATAGGCGATTTTGTTACTTTATATAGTAACAAGTGTATTAACTATTATTACTACATTTGGTAAAATAAAAATTACCAAAGTCTCCCAGGGTCCGTCTCGTTTCTTATTTTCAGTTCTCAGGTTTCTAACAAGCACAATTACCCAGCGAGACTAGGTGTTATTTTTCATAATATAATCACATAATTTTGAAAATTTACGTTTGGAATAAAAATGCCTATAGATGTATGACAAATTTCAAATTCATTTAGCTGCTGTATATACTCAAAACTCAGTCGATAATATCCTAACAGCCGGGAATCTTTACCGGACGGGGATGTACCTATACTGAACCAACATGCTCTGGTGGAATGCTTAGCTGGCTAGGCAATCTAGCAGAGCGTTCCTAAATATAGTGTAAAAATGCTCTGCTGGAATGCTAAGCTGGCTAGGCAATCTAGCAGGACATTACTAAATATAGTGTACAAATGCTATTCTGGAATGCTAAGCTGGCTAGGCAATCTAGCAGGGCATTACTAAATAAAGTGTAAAAATGCTCTGCTGGAATGCTAAGCTGGCTAGGCAATCTAGCAGGGCATTCCTAAATATAGTAAAAAATGCTCTGCTGGAATGCTAAGCTGGCTAGGCAATCTAGAAGAGCATTACTACATATAG